AGAATAGAAATCAATAAAATAGAAATCAGAAAAACAAATGGGAAAATAACAATAAAGCCAAAAGTTGAAAAGATTAATAAAGCTGATAGACTCATAGCAGTAGTGATCAAGAAAAGAGAGAGATAGTGGGAACATTACCTCAGGCGGTACAGACTTAAGAAGTGTGATAAAGGCCTATTATGAACAACTTTATGTCAAGAAATTTGATACCTTAGAATAAACAGATTCCTTGAAAAAGACAAATACCTTAATACAGGAAGAAATCGCATGTTTGTTTAGGCTTATGATCCATTTTAAATTAAACTTATGAATGATATAAAATAAGAATAAATGCAATTGAATTTATTACAATTAAAAACTTCCCCATAGGAAAAAATTCGAGACCAACACATTTTCACTGGTGAATTCTGATATGTTTAAGGAAGAAGTAATACCCAACCTATACAAATATTCAGTATACAGAAAAGGGAACTCTTTTCCTTTCAAAAGGCCACATAACCCTGATACAAAAACAAATGACATGTTTATTAGAAAAGAAATTATAAACCAATTGCCCCTCATGAACATAGATGCAGAAATCCTTAACAAAATATTTGCAAATTGAATTTAGCAATATCCAGAAAGTCTGATACATTCAAACCAAGCAAGTATTATACCAGGAATAATAAAAATATTTGAAATGCAAAGTTTGTCAAACTGTTAAAAATCCAACCTGTAACTCATTGTAGGAACATAATGACAGAGGTAAAAAAGATGAACTCTTGATAGGTTTTAGAAGCAGGATTGGACAAAATTCAGCACCTTTAACAAATTTGTTGAGTAACAAATCTCAACAAATTAAGACTAAAGAAAATTTTTTCAACTTGACAAAGGGCATCTGTAAAAAACTTACAGCTAAGAACATCATATTTACTGGTGAAATGTTGAATGTTTTCTCCCCTAAGATGGAGAACCAGACAAAGATGTCTGATTTCACCTCCTCCATACAGCATCATCATCATTATTATTTTTGGAGACATTTACTATGTTGCCCTCAGTAGAGTGCTGTAGCATATAGCATTATTCTTGTCTTACAACATTGGTTAATGTTATAAGGCAAGAAAAAAATATGTAAGGCATAAAGATTGGAAAGAATGAAGTAAAATTGTCATTCACAGATAGCATAATTATTTAAGTAGAAGCAGCCTGAAGAGTCTACAAAAAGACTAATTAGAACGAGTAAATGAATTTATTTACTAAGTTCATAGTCAAAATATAAAAGTCAATTATATTTGTAAGTAGTTTCTAAGTTTACTAAGTCATAAGTCAAAATATAAAAGTGAATTATATTTTTAAGTAGTTTCTCTGTAGTAGTAGTAAACAACTGAAAAGTGAGATGAATAAACTTTTTTCATTAACCCTAAAGAACATAAAATACTTGCTAATTGATTTTATGAATAAATGTGTATAACTCTATATTAAAAATATTGCTGAGATGGGTGGTGCCTGTGGCTCAAACGAGTAGGGTGCCATCCCCATATCCTGGAGGTGGCAGGTTCAAACCCAGCCCTGGCCAAAAACTGCAAAAACTGAAAAAAAAAAAAAAATATATATATATAGCTGAGAAATTAAAGACTGCTAAATAAATGGAGAGATAAACTATGTTTATGGTTTGTAAAATATAATTTTAAAATGTCAACTTCTCCCAAAATGATTAATAGGTTTAACACTGTTCCATAAAGCACTGTTGAGTATTTTTTTTTTAGAAATTCACAAGATGATTCTAAAATTTATGTGATGAAAATGCAAATGATCTAGTAAAGCCAAAACAATCTTGGGAAAGAAAAATAAAGTTGTAGGATTTATCCTACCTGATATTAAGATTTACTACCTATGGTTATCAAGAAAGTATAGTATAGATAAAAGAATAAATGGACCAATGGAATAGAATAGAGTTCAGAAATTAATTATATTTTATCAATTTGACAAAGTTGTCAAGGAAATTCAATGAAGAAGGGAAAGTCTTATCAATAACTGTTTATGAAATAATTGTATATCTATCAGGAAAAAATTAACCTCTATGTCTACCTCACAACATATACAAAATTTCATTTGAAATGGAGGATAGATGTAAATGTAAAAGCCAAAACTGTAAAGCTTGTAGAAGAAGCTGTAAGAGAATATCTTTATTATGTTGGATTAGGAAAGATTTCTTAGGATACAAAATACACTAACTATAGGGTAAGAATATTGATATATTAGACTTAAAACTTTGAAACTTCTTTTCTTCCAAAGAGACCTCTAAGAAAATGAAAAAGCAAGCAGAGGGTGGTAGCTCACATCTGTAATTCTAACTTTGGGTGCCTGAGGAAGGAGGACTGCTTGAGGCCAGGAATTCACAACCAGTCTGGGTGACAGCAAGATCCCATCTGTACCAAAAAAAAGAAAAAAAATTTAGCCAGGCATGATGGTGATGGTGTGTATCTGTAGTTCCAGCTACCCAGGAGGCTGAGCTAAGAGGATCACTTGAGTTCAGGAGTTTGAAATTGCAGTGAGCTATGATTGTGCCACTCACTCTAGCCTGGACAACAGAGTGAGACCTTTTCTCAAAAACAACAAAAAATGAAAAGGCAAAAATCACAGGAGGAGTAAAAATATTTGCAACACACACACACAACTTTCACCTTGGACTTACATATAAATAATTACTGTTACCACTCAGTAATATTATAAAAGACAGAGAGCCATTTTTTAAATGGGCACAAGATTTGAATAGAAATTTTACAAAAGAAGATACAGGATGACTGATAAACACACGAAAAATCCTCAACACTCTTAACACCAAAGAAATGCAAACTAAAACCACAAAGAGATGCTATCTATACCCTACCCTTTAGTCTTAGAAAGATGAAAGATTCCATGAATGATAATAATGAATGTTGAACAACTGGAAAGATCTTGCATTGCTGGGGAAATTATAAAATGGTGCAACTGTTTTGGAAACTGGTTTGACAGTTTCTTAAAAAGTTAGCATATATATAACCTATGTCTCAACAATTCCTCTCATAGGCATTTGCTCAAGAAAATTGAACATTTTTTTTATGCTTTAAAAACTTACATATGAATTCTCATAGCAGCTTTATTCTTAATAGCCTCAAAAGTGAAATATCCCAAATGTACCTGAAAGGGACAATGGATGAACAAATCGTAGTATATTTATAAAATGTAATACTACATATACTACATATCAATGGGTAACTTTTTCAGCCTTATTATTCTATCATTTTATTAGTTCTTTTAAATAAAGGCATTTTACTACATTGAGATACCATTTTACATCTACAAGGATGGCCATAACCCCCTGCCCAAAATGAGTATTTTCAAAGCTGTGAAGAAATTGGAACCCTCATATAGTTCTTGTAAAATAGTGCAGTCATTTTGGAAACTGGCTGGCAATTCCTAAACAGTTATATACATACTTACTATATGACCCAGTAACTCCATTTCTAGGTATATGCCAAAGAGAAGTGAAAACATATATCCACATGAAAACTTGCACATTAAAATTGATGGCAGCATTATTCATAATAGCCAAAAAAATGGAATCAATTCAAATGTCCATTAAATGTAAAATAAAACATGGTAAATCACACAATGGGCTATTACTATTTTGCAATGAAAAGGAATAAAGTTCTGATACATGCTACACTGTGGATGACCCTTAAAAAATATTATCCTAAGTAAAAGAAGCCAGTCACAAAAGACTATGATTTCATTTCTGTGCCATGTCCAAAATAGGCAAAATGTATATAAAGAGAAAACGGATTAGTGGTTTCCTACTGCTAAGGGGTGGTGGGAATACAGAGTGACTGCTAATGGGTAGTAGATTATGCAAATGTTTTAAAATTGATCGTAATAATAGTTGCACAATTTTGTGAGTATGCTAAAACTATTGAGTTGTGCACTTTAAAAGATGGATTTAGTATGTGAATTATATCTCAATAAATCTGTTTTTAAAAAACAATTGCGTGTTCTATGCATAGCAAATATTAAACATCAGAAATTTTGACTGACTTTCCCATGGCCTGACACCAGGACCCTTATACATGCAATGGTACTTCATTGCCTTCCAGGGCAGCATCTGGCTCAGCATAAGTAGTGATTTACTTACCAGTAGAGAAATGTACTACCTGCTCTCCTAGATCTTTTAAATCTGTAGATCTGTGTTTCAGTGAACCACTGGATACAGGAAACAGAAAATGAAAAACTGATGTTAAAAGAAAAACTTTAGACAAATATAATAAAGTTTTACTGAACAAAGAAGGATTTGAGAATCAGGCAGCCCTCAGAAACAGGAGAGGTTCAGAGACCTCTGCTTTACAACATGGGCAGGCAGCATTTGTGGACAGCATTGCTTTTTTTTTTAAGGGATCTGATCAGTTAGAGGCCTGTGATCGATTGAAGCTTAGTTGCTTTCTGTGATTGGTTGACACAGTTATCTGTTGTAAAAGTATATTGTAAAAGTATACGTTTTCAGTTAGTTTAAATACTAGGTTAAGTTGCAGTTCCTTACATAGGGACTCAAAGCACAGAGTCCATCAGGCCAAGTTTAGTTTAACACTGGTAACTGTTCTGACAAGTAGAATGTACTCCAACATGGACTCTTCACTTGGGTTCACATGCCAAACACCATCACTTGATGTCTATGAAAACTTGGTCAAATTACTTAAACTCTTTCATCTTTGGTTTTCTTACACAAAAATGAGGATAATAATACCTATATCATAAAGTGTTATGAGAATTTAATTATATGAGAAAGCGCTCAGCACAGTATCTAACATGTAATAAGTATTGAATAAATAATTATCATACAATTACTGTTTATTTTTATTATCACTGTTATTTACAGTGACTAGTTTCTAATTAAGTGCTTTCCTTTTTAGAGTAGTCAAAACTTCCTTTATGGCTGTTTACTATTTATACTTCATAAGCTCTACTGATGTGTGCTCCTTTTTTAACAGGTTCAACATAAGAGATATGATGCAATTCTTAAGCGTTTGCATTGTCAACTGAAAAAGCTTCAGTCAAACAGAAGACAATGGCAATGGAACATTCACCAACTGGAGAAAACTGCAGCTGAACTAAGGAAATGTATTAGAATGCAGGAATAACATGCCATAGGGCACTGTGGAACATAGACCCTGCCAACAGAAATTATGGGACAGAAGGTTGGGAAAATCTTTTGATTTCTTGCTAACAAACTTCCACTACATATAGCAGAGGCCTGTCATCCATCTGGTAAAGTGCCTTCCGACCCTACACTTGATAGCTCTAGATAGAGAAAGGAAGGCTTACAGGTGGCTAGTGGAAGAGTCTGTGAATATTTTGAGAATGTTAAGATGTATTATGCTCATAAATGAAGTAAAACTTTAGAAGAAAAAAAATACTTGAATTTTCAATGATTTAAATTAAGATAATTTACAAATGGTGTCTATTTCAAACTTTTTATTATAATTTGTTTTGTTTATAACTGCCTTCAGAGTAGCCCATAAATACTGATATTTATAATAATATTTTTATACATCCAATGCTTCAGATATTCTACTCAGAAAGCAAAAATCATTTTTATTGGTTATTAAATGACATATTTTAAAGTGTTGCAATGCATAAAATTTCTCATTCACTTTTCTGTCTATAAATTCTTTTTGCCTATTGTGATTAAATTAAAGTTATATTATGTAAGGTAACCTCTGAAGAGTTTTAATTATTATAGACTGACATACATTTTTTTTCCATCGGATAGTAAATGCTACATCCATGGCAATGAAGCAAATATTTCTTGTCCTTTTCTAGATAAAGCACCTCCTTTCATGGTTCCATTGAGTCAGATAGTTAGAAACAAAACAAAATATTAATTATTGGATATATGGTTTTTAAAGAGTCACTTATAGGATTAAGTGATTTCAAGCAAACAATATCAAAAAGATATTTCAAATCCATTTTCTCCTCACCTTTCTATAGCCATGAGATTTGGTTAAGAGTGTAGCTGATATAAAACCTGATATTTATAATCTTATTATGTCTAACATTAATAGTTTTATTATGGCTTACCATGGCTAACACATCTAATGACTTATCCTGTCACACAATCAGCTTTGGTCTATGATTCAGAAAAACATCTACAAATGGAAGTAGTTAACATATGAATTATCAGGAGTACCACCTCTGTGCAGCTGGAGACAAAGCTGAAGCAAATGCTGACTGTATAAATATATTTTAATTTAATGAATTATTAAAAAGTTTTTCTTATAGTTATACTCCATTCCATTTATAGCTTATAAAAGAGAAATTCTAGCATTCTAAACTCTTTTTATAATGGGATTCAAAATATTTATACATGGTAACACGTTGGGTCATATTTTTGTAAGTTTATTTTTCAATTAACATATAAAGAAAATAGGTTTAATCTGCTTAAATGCCCTATTCATGAAAGCAATTTTTAGTGTCTAAAATATCCTTGATATAATACATGTGCCTATTTAAAATTTTTTCACAGTTATTTGAAAGAGAAACATTTCTTCCTTTCTCTTTCTAAACTTGAAAACTATTTCAAATAAATAGAGGCTTTTGGATTAAGAAGAACACAATTATGAAGTATCTCAAGCCTAATGATTGAGTGGGTATGGTATTTCAACACTGTCTAAAAACTCCAAACTGAGAAAATTGAAGTTATTTTTTATTCTATTTCTATATAACTCAACCCAGCATAGACTGTGACCTCTTTTGCCTCCTCACACAATGCTTCTGGGCTAAAATTCAGTCTCTTTTGGGTAAACATGCAACTCAGAATTCTCCTCTTTCTCATTTTCTCCTGGTAGTAGTGGTCTTAAGTTTCTGAGGTATTTAAATTGTTTTGGCATCAGGAGCAGAGCTTTGGTCCAAGTGTCCTTCTGTGCCCTCACTGGCGGCTGCAGAGAGGCAGTGCATTCTTGCTGGTGTCCAGCACCATCTGTCTGTACTATGCCTGCAGTTGTTTTTTCTAGTCAATAAGCTCAGCTTCCTTATCCAATCATGAGATCTCCTCTGGACCTATTTAATTTTCTCTATAGGTTTTATTTCTTTGGAATCTGTTATTCTATCCATGCATTCTTTTCCCTTTTCTGCTTTCTCTGGTATTAACTGAGTTTTATAAGGTTCTCAGTGTTTTGAATAGCTCAGCTAATATTTTGTCTCTAAATATACCCAGTCTTTTGCAAAGGAAAGCAGTGATATCAAAAATATTATTTCTACTATGAATTTTTTAAAAAAACTAACATGAAACTCAAAGCTAACAAATTACTTCTTAATTCTCAACAGTTATCTGTCCTGACCTGATAGGTGCTATTACTTGAATGATGATTAAAAGGTAACTAGTGCAAGGAAGTAGAAGAAGGGAAAAAAATACTCAGTATCTCAAAATATTACTTACTTCATAGAAAATCTTTGGGCAAGTTATAGTTGATGAATGAAAAGAATTGATACCTACTACTAGAATTGATATCTAGTATTTAAGATACTATGGAAATCACCAGGTGATACACATTAAAGCCAGTCAAGTCTACCATCATGAACAATTTCATGGGCAGTCTAAATGTTCATGGTACCTATTAGGCCATGTCTCTCACCATTAGCTGATTAATCATGCTATTTCTAAAGCACTACAGATATTAAATATTAATAACACTAAAGAACAGTAATGTACAGAGTATGCTGTGCCCTATTTGGAAAATTGTATATATTATTTCACTTATTTCTCAAAAGAATGATTTAAGGTAAATATTATTCCTAATTTACAGAGGGAGTCTCAGGTTAAGTAACTTACCTAAGAACTCATCACACAGATCCTCAAGGTTAGAATTAAAATCCAAAGCCCTATTTTGACAATGTGGCACTATGAGAAAATTATTCCAAGAGTAAGCCTGAATTTTACTATAAATAGTTATTTTCTACAGTTATTATTTTTATAGATTATAGGGCATATAATAAATTTAATCAATGTGAAATTTAGTTATTAAAAATAAATAGCGCTCAAATGCATAGGTAACACTATATGTGGGTCAGGGTCAGTAAAACATTTTGGCTAAGGAAAGTAGTATTCTGTTTACAAAAGATTGCTTTGGCCTTTTAATGTTCATATAGGAATTTTTAGTTAAAACTCTAAGTTTCTATATTATCTTACATTGAACATGGAACTCACTGGTCATCCATAACAGTTACAATATTAAAGGGCTTTATTAATACTGTAACTATTTGGAATTATTTCAGGGAAGGCAGTCAGGGATTTAGGAGAACATGTTTTGATTTTAGTTGCTCATAGTTTAGTTTCTCATATTTTTAACATTATGAATATTTTATTTTTCATTAACTAAGCTAATGATTACTGAAGCTAATGAGCAGAAGCTAAAAGTTATGTAGCTGTCAAAAATAGTGTATGTTATTTGAATTTATAATGTATCTCTAGGGGAAGCATTTATTTTCTTTGCTGTTAAATTTGGCAATATACGGAATGAGTCTTCTATATCACATTAGCTACCATGTAACACTTTCTCCTGAGTGTTACTGAACTATGACCAAAACCAAGAAAAATAAATTGAAGCAAATACTAAAACCAAAATAGATTTATTCAATACATAGCTAAGAATGGGATGCTTCAAATTGCTTTTTCTTTTTCCGTAATGTTTCATTTAAATGATGGCTGTGAGCTCTAGATCTTTAGAAAAATAAAAATAGCATATGATTTGGTAATGACAGGGTTGCTGTTTATATAATCCAGTGAAGATAGACATGAAGTACTGAGACCTCAGCCTCTTAATTAATGAGACAATGTATTCCAAAAGCAAAACCAGATTTGATGTGATAAATACTTCTAAAAGCCTTCTTACCCCAAACCTTTCTGGCATAAAAACCATGTCAAAATTGGAATAAAACACTTAAATTACAGATATTTGTTGGCATTGCTCAATTACATAGCACAAAGTAATTTAGAGGCCATGGTAACACAATGCCAGTCTAAGATAAATTTTTAAATTTTTTTTGTCCAAAATAAAGGGGTCAAGACACATCATCTACTTTATCTGCTGTTGTTACTCCTCCAGACATTATTTTACAAAGAATAGTATCCTGAAGGTGGTTTCGAGATTGTTTCTCCCTGAACCCGCAGTGCTTCTTAAATGTATGTGACATGAAAAAGAAAATCTCCAGCGAGACTACAATTTGCATGAGTTGTTTTATTTTCGGTGATCTACTATTAGCTAACTTACACACAGTGATCCAGCCAGATGTTAACACATCTACTTGGCAAAACATCACATGGCTTTTTCTTCATCCACCTTTTCTACAGAGACTGTGTATAGCCACTCTCGAGTGTCATTCCTGAAGGTGAGACCTCTCTGAGAACACTTCCATCCTTCAGATGTAATATTGGCTTTGCTGGGCAGTTTAATTTTTAATTTATACATATTTGTACGAAACATTCAATTCTTAGATCCATCCTTTTTGTAACATTCCGCTACTTTTGATTATTCATTTTCTAGGTCTTTTAGTCTCAATCTGTCGATGTAATTTACACACATTTTCTTAATCATTAGTGTAATTCTCTCATGTTTCTTTCATATCTTCCCATCAAACTACCACTTCCTCGTTCAGACCTTAGCTTTTTCGGCCCCATTCAGCCATAAATTGCATCATATTTAGGTTCCAAGGCTAATTTTTGTTGTAACTCCAAAGCTTATTCAAATGACCTCAAGTTAGATCTCAATCATTGAAAATAGTCTCTTCATTTATAACTGTTTTATGCATGAGAAAATATTGTTTTGTTATTCTGAAATGCCTCACAAAGAAAAATTTTCTCTGAAACATTGTGTAACAGACACAGTCAATGCTCTGCCCAGATACTTGGATCTATTTTAAAACCCTTTTGAGAAACCCTCTCCCCACTGAGGCCTGCTTTTGACTATAATAGCTCTTACCCAAGGCTTTCTTTGGAAGGTTTGCTACCCTCAGAAGACTTTGCTTGGTATTGTAACCTTGCTTGGCTTTTTTTTTTTCTCCTAACCAGTCTTCTTTCCTTACCAATTTCTCCTGGGAAAATGTCAATAATAATCACTTTCTCAAGAATCTTCATCACAGAGACTGCTTCTGGGAATCCCAAACTAAAGTCACATTGCAAAATTAATCACACATTAAAATCTCTGTTTTCAAGAGATGACTATTGTTCTGCTCCAGTTCCTCCCTCACCCTAGACCCAGATCAATTCCATTCCCAGCAGCAGCCAAAAAAAAAAGGAAAGAAAGGAAGGAAACTAACTTACTACGTTTGGAATCTAATCATTATCCCGCACTATCCTATTTGGTATAATGTGATGTAT